AGTGGCAGGGAGGGCAATGGCCTATACTATTTCTACAAGGTCTCATAAAGTAACAGTAAATTGAATGTAAAGAACAGAATAATCCAGAAGGGAAGGAGAAAGAGAGAGTTATCATCTTGGAAAGGTGAGTTGGAAAGGTGTGTTTGTCTTTCTTCAATTCCTGTGAGTATATCAGTGTCGTCTTCAACTAAACAGGCTGAGAGTTAGTAAATTGTGAGTAAATAAAAAAAAAAAAAAAGATTATTATATTTCTTATACTTTTTGTTTGGTGATGTGCCTTAGGGATTTTTTTTTTAATTTTTTTTTTTTTTTTTTTTTTTTTTTTTTTTATGAAAAATGTGTGCCGTGGCTCGAAAAGGGTTGAACCACTGCTTTAATATTTTAATGCAAAGTTTCATTTTAGACTTACTTCTATGTGTTTTAGTGATTTAGACTTCCAGGCAAAAAGAAAAAAACAACACCATAAACCATGTTAGATAACGTACATTGGCACACCTGTACTTTCACACTGGAATAGGTGTCCCGTACTTCGCCTCTCTGTTCACGGGGTTAGAACCCGTAGCCCAAGGGTGGGTCCCCCGCCACCTCACTCGGCGGTCCTCGAGGGTTTCTATCGATCTGTTCAAGCCGATGGGCGAGGTGACTCATCCAGCCTCTAACTATCAAACTTAACTGTCTGTCTGTGTGTGGGCACCGTGCCATGCTCAGTGCACCTCAGCGGCAACTTGGCAACTGGTGGACTGGAACCCCAAATTTGCTTCCTTAACCATACTGAGCTCAACCCTTATTGACAACCAAGAACAAATCTTTGAAGTGTCAGTAGCTTTATAAATTTATCTTGGAAATGTTGTCTCAGCTTGCTAAGAATCCCTTGTTCTTTTTTTTTTTTTTGCCAAATAAAACCATTCACAGTGAAAGAGTGGTGTGTGGAATGATATATATCAGTGTGACGAGATGGAAATTCGAATTCTTTCGAGATGTCACCGACTTTTATTGTTGTTTTTATGGCTCTGTGTAGAGCGCGGCACTTCTCAAATAGTGGGGCGGGCCCCCCCCCCGGGGGCGGGGCGGGGGGGGGGGGGGGGGGGGGGGGGTGCTTCCAATGTAATATGGCTGGACATACCGTAGGTGTACAAGCCTCCAGTCACTAGATGGCAGTGATTGATACAGAGGTTTATACAGATAAAAATATACATGTTATCAGGTTCTCAATAGTATTTCAATTTGCGGGGATTGGAGGGGCGGGGTGAAAACATTTCTGTCCCCAAGGGGAGGCATGAAATAATTGAGGACCACTGGTATAGCGAAACCAGTGAACGACACCTGTTGGTTTATTCAATACATTTTACCCAGAAAAAAAATCCCTCGCTGTCCTCACAGCTGGTTGGAATTATTTCATCGAATCCTGGAGGATACGTATACATGGAGTCTTCAAAATCCACAGCAAGAAGGAGTGGGTATTAATCATACTCCAGCTCAGCCTGTCAGAGCAGTGACATGGCCACTCCTGCTCATGGATCAGTCAGCCCCCCCCCCAGTCCTGACCCTCCATCTATCATCGCCAATCAGCACCACGTTACAGGAACCACGTGAGGATCTCGCCGCGTCGTCCGCTCTTACGGACATAAACACATGGATGAAGAGCCAAGCTGCAAAGCTTTGATTGAATTTCAATGAAATGAAATGTAAAGATGAGGAAAGAGTTTTTTTTTTAGACTTTTATTTTGAACCTGGTAAAAACACAACTTTTTTTTTTTTTTTACGTGCACGCCCGTTTCCGTGTTTTACCGCCTGAAAAGCCTGAGGTTTGAGGCGGTGTAAGAACACACACATAAATAATTAAAGCTGAAACATTAGACAACACCTACACAGCCACTCACACACTCTCACAGAGACACACGCTCGCTCACACGAGTTGTGAGTAACTCGCAGAGCCTGAAACATGTCACATGTAATATTTAAGAAAAAAAAAAACGAGAGTAAATATGTGGTATTTAATTAAAACAAAAAAATTGCTCGCTCACACGAGTTGTGAGCAACTCGCAGAGCCTGAAAAAACATACAACCCTTTTAAATGTCACATGTAATGTTTAAGAATAACCGAGAGTAAATATGTGGTATTTAATTAAAACAAAAAACAATAATCACGTTTATGGACATTGACACTAAACCGCCAACCTCTTGACCCTAAACCTGACCAGTACAAATGTATGCTTAAACCTTAATCCTTACTCCAACTAATTCTAACTCCAAAGTGAATCTTAAACCTTTGATACAGACAAAGGGGACCCCACTAATATAGCTATACCGGAACCAGAACACAAACAAAACAATAAGCTAAACAAAAAGAAAACCAACACGACACACATGCCCCCTGGTGGCGATTCAACCAAAGAGCGTTTCATGTCCCGTAGACGACAGTTGATTGTAAATCTAAGATATTAAAAGGACAGAAATGTGGAAGTAATCATTTATGTGGATAAGTCAGACACAAATGGATTGGTTTCCGGAGTAGAATAAGGAAATAAGACCACACCAAAGGGCATTTCTTATAGAAGGAAATTTTTCAACATTTAGATGTGTTTTTTTGGATAGTTTGCCTGGGGTGTTTTTTTGGGGGTTTTTTTTAATGAAAAATGTGTGCCGTGGCTCAAAAAAGGATTGAAGAAAGTTTCATTTTAGACTTACTTCTATGCATTTAGATGACTTCCAGGCAAAAACCCCAGAAAAAACCACACCATGAACCAGTACTTTCACACTGCAATAGATGTCCCGTACTTCAGCTCTCTGTTCAAGGGGTTAGGACCTGTAGCCCAAGGATGGGTCCATCCATCCATCCATCCATCCATCCATGCATCTATCCATCCATCCATCCACCCATCCACCCATCCATCCATCATCCATCCATCTATGCATCTATACATCCATCCATCCATCCATCCATCTATGCATCTATCCATCTATCCAGCCATCCATCCATCCATCCATCTATGCATCTATACATCCATCCATCCATCCATCCATGCATCTATCCATCCATCCATCATCCATCCATCTATGCATCTATACATCCATCCATCCATCCATCCATCTATCCATCCATCCACCCATCCACCCATCCACCCATCCACCCATCCATCCATCCATCTATCCATCTATCCATCCATCCATCCACCCATCCACCCATCCACCCATCCACCCATCCATCCATCCATCTATCCATCCATCCATCCATCCATCCATGCATCTATCCATCCATCCATCATCCATCCATCCATCCATCCATCTATCCATCCATCCATCCATCCATCTATGCATCTATCCATCCATCTATCCATCCATCCACCCATCCACCCATCCACCCATCCACCCATCCACCCATCCACCCATCCACCCATCCATCCATCATCCATCCATCCATCCATCTGTCTATCTATTTATAGTTTGCCCTGATTTCTCATATCTGAGCCTATCTGAGCCTACATGTCCCCCGCCTCTAAATATATTGCAACTCAACTGTGACCCAACAGAAACAGTTAAAGACCAAAGTTATGCTTGAGCAGAAACAGAAACGCACAGTATGGCACAACAAGTACCAAGATTTCAACCACACACTGTTTTTAAGTAAACTCATTCAAGTCACCAGAGCCTAAGGCTAAACACAAATTACATTATGTTTTAATGATTAAAGACAATTATTTTCTTCTAACTATATGAATTATAGGAAGCCTGTTGCTGTATCATCCCTATTTTCTTTGTGCTTCTTTAAATGTCATTCACACCGTGTGCTGTGATGGAGGAAACATTGTGGTGTTTCCAGTAGATGGCAGCCACTGGATCAACTCTTGGAGGAACTTCATCTCAGACGACTGTGATCAAGGTATCCAACAGCTGAAAAGCCTCCACTGTATACCTCAATTACAATTATAATGATGGAGCATGAAGGGTTAGTGGACTTTTTTGATGAGTTCGTCAAGAGGGTATGTAGACAGAGCAGTAATATATTGGGTTTTTTATACATTGATTTCTATGATTTAACAGAGCATTGTCTTCTTTTTCTGTTCAATTAAGGTGTTTTAGAAATTTCCTACTTAAAAATAACCAAGATTTAAGCATTAAAAGGCTGATAAAAAGTGTATTAAATATCAAATCAGTGCGCTTTTGTGGTGCTCTCTTAAATTATGTGATGTTCAATCCTTTGTGTTATTGTAGTTTCACCTCATTTACTAACGTATATAGCAGTGATTCACAACCACTGATAGATCGCAAAAAATATATACAATTTCACTTGATTTGAAATTGTTTATTTACAATAAATTGCCTTTGTTTGTCTCACTGACGGGGAGAACGATTAAATATGTTTCCACTAGATGGCAGCAGATCGATATAAAAGACGCAGAGAGTCGGCGTGAGGAGTAAGACTTATGCTGAACATAAATCATACAGGTGTGTTGGTTCGGGTTTGACTTAATTTCTTAATTATTTTGTTCCCCTTCATTAAAGTTTTAAAGAATTAAAGTCAAAGAGGATCGCGGAGCCTGAGGGCAGCAATTCATACATTTGAATTGCTGCCCTTGATATACAAGCCTTGATTTATACATCAAAGGTTAGAACGGTTCGTTCTTGATCATTAAAAATCATTTTGGGCCCAGTTGAGCACGTAATCAGAAATCTGATGCCAATAAAGCTTTCCTCAGCTTTTATTTTTATTATTATATATATTATATATATGTATGTGTGTGTCTATATTTGATTATTATATATGTTATATATGTATGTGTGTGTCTATATTTGTTGAGTACAAAGGGCTTTTTTTCTTCATTTTTTGGACTAAATTAAATAGTTTCATCTATTTTCTTTTCATTTTCATGTATAAATGCAGCTCTTTGTTCAGTTTGTATCTCATTAACATGTGGATATAATGCCACTGCTAATTTCCCCACCCGGTAGACAGCGTTGGAACGTTCTGCCTTCTTCCCATTAATGAACAAAAATGTCGATATTCTACTTATTACTACATCACTTTAAATCCTCGTATTTTATGAAAACGCACTTAAAAAATATTCTTCATTCGAAATATCTATGCGTTTAGCAGTCAATTTAGCTAACTGAAACAGACGACAAAAACAAAGAGGTTTGCAACGTAGCCTCTTGTTTCTGCCCTCTTTGTAACACTCTGGCAGCCATTGGTCATAGAATGACAAATCTCAACTCTGATTGGTTATTCCTTCTTAGTCAGAGAAGAAGGAGGAGCAAAACAAACCGACCTGTGTAACAGTGGAGTATTCAGATTCATTTTCGGACACCGCTGTTACTGTGGATTTTTATGGATAAAAACACATTTTAATGAAAAAGAAGCTGAGTTCATGAAGGTATGTTTTTTTAACTATGGCATATGACCACGACTTTTTTTTATTTCAAACGCTATTTGATCGTTTTAGCCTCAATTATGTAAAAAAAAACTGGTGTCCTATAGCAGGTCTTCGAGACAGTATCCTACTCATTTTCTTTTTTTTTGTTTCCTGGACTTTCACGGCGTTAAACCATACGGTTACTCATTAACTGACAACAAAACAATAAAAAATGTAGATAACAGTTTGTTAATGTTATTTAAGTGGCCAGAGTTCATTATACGTGTAATTGCTATTTGCTATTTGTTTTTGATGTGTCAATGTCTAATGCAGCCGTTGCATACACACAATAGGTCATCCGCGCTTGAAGCATCGTTTAAATATAAAAAATAATTGGTTGAATCTCCAGCCTTCCACCTCTTTCGGTTTGTGAAACAAAGGAGCAGGTGTTTGTTCGTTACGTGGAAAGAAGTTGTTTATTCTGAATCCATAAACGCGTCATCATTATCACTGTCGGTGTCATTATTGGCGTGATTACATAGGTATTATTATTGTTTAGGGTGAGATTGTTTAAATAATTTAGTTACAGTGAAATAATTGCACAGCTCACAATCTCGAGTCACCGAGACTAGTGTTAGAAACGCAGTTCTGACGATAAAAACGACGAAAAACAAACAAGCAAACAAACAAACAAAAAAACTAGACATCCGTTGTTGCGACCCCTGATGAGGGGACTCACTGAAAGTGATCCTTCTATTGCAACATTAAACTGGTTAAGACCATAGTTATATGCCATGATAATCAGACCGTTTACCAAGTATACCAAAAATAATCTGAATAAGAGTTTTCTGATATTAACCTGCTGACAAAATAACTAAAAAGCCATAGTCTGGTCAACATACAGTATAAAATATTATAGCTGGTGAAATAAGGAAAAGATCTGATACAGTATAGGTGTTACTTCTTTAGAGTTTCATGGTGTTTTTAAAAAATATATATGTTAATATATTTTTGTATCTGTTTAGCATGTTTGTTTATTTTTGTGTATAGCTATTTTAAATATATGTTAATATGTTTGTTTATTTTTGTGTATAGCTATGTTTCCGTAATGCAAAAAACATGAATAACAACTTGTCAAATTCCCATATGCGGACACACGTGGAACTGTTTGAAGCACGTTCAAAGGTACCAGATTGATATGGATATGGATTTGTGTGTGTTTGTGTACATTTCTCCAGGAAGAGAAGATGAATGTGGAGGCTCTAAGTAGAGCCGAGCTGCTGACTCTCCTCAGTGTCCTGGAGGGAGAACTTGAAGCTCAGGATGTGGTTATACACACTCTCAGAGTGAGTTACTGCTTCAACGCTCACACACATACACACAAATGTCAATCATGTTTTCGTCCTAAGCCTTACTCTTTATCCCTCTTTTGCTTCACCAGTGTGCATATTTATTTCGTTGCTGACATTAGCTGTGTTACTGGCTAGCATTAAGGTTACTCTTGGTTTGGTGATTATAATTGACTTGTTTTTTTTTTTTTTTTGGCAGATTTGTGAGTTAACATATTTAAAGAATTAACATCTTAGACTCCAAATCTTCTTGGAAAGCGGTTTAAATTGTTTAGCTAGTTTGGCTCACCGATACAGTTGCATTTTAATGGTTGACCTTTAGCTATGTATGCTTTGCTTAGCTTAACTATTGAGTATTTTATTCCTGTTAACAGGGATTTTCCCCCTCTTCCATTAATATTTGTAAAACTCTACTTCACTTTTTATTGTTACTATTACCTCTGTATAACATTGACGACATTCCTCAGTTTCCTTCTGCTGGGTTTTACAGGAGAATCATTTTAATTTCAGTTCAAATATTAATACAGTATGTGTTTCGTGAATGGTTGCCTCACTCAGAAACACACACACACTAAGCAAACAGAATGGTTCAATCAAGACAAATGTATCACCTCTTAATTGTCTGTATATTTTCTTCAGACACACACACACATTATTTGAATTGCAAATAATTGACATATTTCTATTCTATATTCTGTATCTATTTCATATAGAAAATGTGACAAAGGCTTTGGCTTAAAATTAAGATAAAAATTCAATGTCAAATTCAGCAAAACAATCTTACAAGGTTAGCACAGAATCCATTGTCACCTGAAAGACAAAGGACTTTTAAGTTCTGCCATTTGCTGTTTGTGAACAGCATATATCAACATAATGATCTGCCCTGAGAGAAGAGAACATCTGCTTTAAGTTCTTTGATAGTCAATGCAAAGCAGAGCTTAGGGTCCTACCCCAACCCTGAGCAGGAAGTCAAACTTGTTTTTTTTCATCTCTGCTACTGATTGGGTTGTTGGAGTTGAGCATGTTATTCTGCCTGACAGAGAAAAGATAAAAGTTCTTGCACAGTTTCAGACAATTGACTCGCAGCTCTCTGAGACATGCCACTCCCTTTGGAATGCTCCACCTGTTCCTGGTGTCATGTTCTGTCTGGAATGTTCCCTCCAGTGAAACGGCTCGTCTCCGAGGCCTGATTAAAAGTCAGAAATGTGTGGAGACAAGTTCAGGAGGTGACATAATCTCAGCACTAGAGGTTTCCAATTGCTTTAAGTTGTAGGTGGGGAATCACCCAACTAATAGGTAGCGTTGTGGGTTTTTGTGCTTGGGTGTAGTCACTGAAGCCTGTAGATTTGATCTGAACTTTTGTTTCCAGAACAAACCTGTAATTGTTTTTGATATTTTAGCTTTGCTTTCATCGGAACAATCTGTTAATTTGTAATGATGGTCAGAAACTATATTCAAAAGCAGAGGTGAAAAGTAACAAATGACATTTACTCACGTTACTGAGATAGAGTAGTTTTTGTTAGTAATTTTTAAGTAATTTTACTTTATTTAAGTACAGTTTGACTCAAGTATTTTATTTTGCTACATTTGAAAAGAACCGTTTACTGAGTAAAAAATTACATGCGGGAAAAATAAGATGCGTTAATTGAAAACAAACTGCGTTGGCGTGCATGCTCGGATTTCCCACTATTTTGATGTAGCCAGATAACGTTGACTAAGAGACAGAGTCTAGTCCGTGGTTGGACTAGCTCCTGGTTGTTGTAGCCTAGATTAGCGTAGCGGCAAGCGCAGGAGAAGTTTATGAATCAATTCAGAATCGTAGAGAATTAGAATTGCGATTCTTACAATCATCAATTTTTTCCCCCCACCAAGGTGAGCATTAGTTGCAGATTGGATGTATACGTCGTCCTTTTATTTGCATTTTTTGCAAGTAATTTAAAGTAACTGAGTAACCTTTACTCAAAGTCAATTTTTAAATTAAGTCATTTTTTACTTTTACTCAGTCACATTTTTAGGTGGGCACTTTTACTTGATTAGAATATAAGCAAAGTAAAGATATATATATTTTAGTACTTTTTCCACTGCAATTGATTGATGTTGTCCTGGGCTCACCTGTAGCTGCCTAATCTTTGGGTAACTGAACAGAAATCATTTTCATAGATTTTCGCAATTATTTTTAATTATCTTGAGGCAGATTTGTCAATGTATTTCTTTTATTATTTTTAGCTTTTTGTCAGCTGGCTTTTATCTGTTTACTTTAAACCAACTTGAAAACATGTCTCAGTTCTTTTTAGTGACTAATAAATTAATGTTGCAGAGTTAACTTGGCCTTTGGGTAAAGAAATTGTGTGAGTTACCAAGGCTAGGCTGTAAATGTTGCACTCAGCTGTACATAAAAAAAAACTCTGCTAAGAGTAAAGTCATTTGAAGTGTACCAATTTGACCTTTTTTTAATATTCAGGATGAAATATCGGGAGAAAAACCTAAACTAAAAACTGGTTAAACTTTTTGCGACATGCTGTAAACATGTAAGTAATGGAAGATACTCCAAATTGCAGTATTGGTATCGGTATGGACATGAAAAACAGTTATTTCCAGCCGTCCCTACAGAGAACCCCACACGCAAACAGAGCTAACAATAGCATAGTGTGATGAGTGACACAGTTACGATCCCATGTTCCTTGGAAGTTTTTGTGTTTGTCCTGAATCTTTTGTCTTTTCTTAAAGAATCTTACTTGAGTTTCAGTCACAGAAACCACTCCGCCCTCAAGTGCTGTTTGTTTTCAGATTGAAAGAACTTGACCGCACAACACTTGAGTTTTGGTACAGCAGATTCAGGACAAACTCGGAAGAAAACTGACATGACCGTCAACCCACTGTTCCTCCATCGCCAATGGCAGTTTGATTTAAAGCTACCTTTACGGTTCCGTTTACAGCTCTTCTTCTGTAATCATCATTTTTGACCTAATTACATTTTCTTGAATGTTTTCATGATAATTCCCAGCTATTTCTATGCAACGATCTTGTATTGTTTAGCTAACCGTTAAGCGCTATATATTTCTAACAAATCATTAAATGTTTGCTGTTTTGACAAATATTTTGACAACTACACACTCAAAGAGAAGACGCGTTTCACTTGACTCGTAAGTCAGGACACGGTATCACAGGGACAAGTTTTGAATATACACTGCCGCCATTTTTCAAGGAAGCTTACTCCGCAAGAATCGACTGTAAATGACAACTGATAAAAATTGACATTCAGTGAAGTGCCCCATGGCATCGCCCGCTCACATAATACTGCTATACTAGTATACTTAGTTATCATTTTCTCTTTTAAATTCATCAAAATGTTTTTTTAGCTATAGTTTGCGTTATTTTGTTAACTGCAGTAACCTTAACGTTCTCTCCATCTCTCTCTCTCTTTCCTTCCCTCTCCTTTGGTAACGGATATAAGTGGGTCTCTTTCCTTTCCTCTCCTTTGGTAACGGATATAAGTGGTAAAGGCCGATGGAGATTTATGGAACGTGATTAATTAAGTATTGACTAAACGATGAAGATTCATGGAACGTGATTAATTAAGTATTGACTGACAGTAGTATTTCCTTTCTAGAGTTGGAGCTAAAAATATGTCTTGTACGTATGTTATGTATATTACTAAACGTTTTGCCACTGTTCTTGGATGAACATGTTTTTACATTTGTTATAGAAAAAAAAAGTACTCCCAGGGTCCGTGTTTATTGGTTATTTCAGAGATGTCCTGACATTTAGGCATACGTACTCCCAGGGTCCATGTTTATTGGTTATATCAGAGATGTCCTGACATTTAGGCATACCCATCAAGACAGCATTCACTATGTTACTTAACATGTAAAGTCAAATTAGGCAATCTGATGACTGTCTCATTGGCTCGTTAAGCAATGGCTTTATAATACACACAGACAACTGCATCTCAGATCACTGTCTTTAAATGTTGGACACCTGTGTGTGTGTGTTTTTCTACAGGCTCAGCACTCGTTAAGCAATGGCTTTATAACACACACAGACAACAGACAACCTGTGTGTGTGTTTTTCTACAGGCTCAGCACAGAGACTCCTTCATCCAGGAAAGATATGGACACTACAACCTCAGTGATCCTTATCTGGCTCTGCAGAGAGACAGTGAGGGCGAAGAGCGGCAGAGCTCCTCCACGCAGCATCACAGTCATAACACCCAACAGCGGAACCGGAACACAGGCCCGAATCCCCTGGCGCTCATCAAACTGGTCATGACTAACTGTAAGAGGATGCAGGAGAGGATGCTGGGACAGTTGGCTGCAGTCGAGAGCAGACACAGGAAGGTAGGAATTAACAGGAAAGACCAGACTTCTTTTTTTTTTTTTTCAAGACAGTCTGGATGATCTCATGGTGTGCATGAGCTCACCTGGCATCTCTTCCTGTATTCTTCAGACTATACTATATAAATAATATGGTTTTTTTTTTCACTGCAGCTACTTCAAAATAGGGAGGAAAAAAAAATTGCCTAAAGTCCTAAATGTTTGAGATAACTAAGCGTTTGCCCCAGAAATAGCTTTAGTTGAAAAACTGGTTTAAGGTAGCAAACATTGACTAAAAGAGATTCCAGAAATACTTCAAAGTAATCAAGTAAGGCTACATAGGCTACACAGCTAATAGCAAAACTTTTAATTTTTTTTTTGGGAAGCTAACTAAAGGTTAGTAAAAAAAAATACCTTAAAGTTAGCAAGACAAAAGCCCTTGCTATTTTAGCCCGAAAATTGCGTATAGCAATCGAGGCCACGATGCTAATCATTTCTTATTACTTACCCGATTTTCTAAATCAGCTTGGTGTCAAACCTGTTTCTGACAGTGAAGCAATTTCTTGAGCTGTTGGACTGATTTGTTAGCTAGGACGTTTTTGTTTTTTTTTCTGCCTTCTCCTGTTATTAGTTCAATTAGATGTTTCACTCATTTGGACAGGTGATATCCGAAATGGAGGAGGAGAAACTTCGTCGATTGCTGGATTCCGCACAGAGCAAAGACTTTGCTGCCGTACTGCAAACAGAGAGAGATGCCTTGCTGCAGCAGGTAAGGCTCTAGTCGTGGGCCACAATTGGCCTAAAATTGAACAGGGGGGGCGGGCTAAAATCATTTTACCATTTTCTATGCCATCTATTGGTGAAACGTGGGTATTGCAGGGGAAAGGCCGAAGTATTATGATAATATAAATAAATCGTGTAATTTGGAAAAGTTTGGCGGGCCGGATTATTATGCTGAACGCATCCCCGTGTCCTGGTGTTGGTTTGCCCATGCCTGGCTTAGGCTGTTTTCTCTTTAATGGTTTACAAACTGTAAACCAATCCTAGTCAATTCCCAGCACATTTTGTGTGTGTTTGTGTGTGTGTGCAGCCAAGTAGGAAACCATCCAGGAAAAGACCATTGTTCACTTCTTCACTCCGTCACTGCGGTTTCAGGAAATCCGAGATAATAGATATCCACGCCCTGGACAAAGTCAACACAAACACAAACTGATTTTTGTCCTTTGTAAGCACTTTACGGAGACATAATGGCCTCCCTGGGCCTCTGATCCTCACTTGTAAGGAAGGCCTTAACCTTATCTTGGCTCTTATCGAACCCTAGTTTAAATCCTAATTCTAAATTCAAAATCAAAAATGCCCATTCCCTCTGCCAGGGCCCAAAAGGACAACATGTCCCAACAGCTATAATTAGTTTTTTTTTTTTTTTCAAAACTACTGCATGTCCCCACAAGTGTAGATATACCAGAAACACAGTCACGTGGCTACACACACACGTAGGATTGAACAATATTCGCCGCAAAGGTTTATCTCAGGTCGAGTTACTGCTTTCTCACAGACTAATCTCGATTTATCATCGCGTTCCGTTTCCTCCTTGGTTACTACGATAGCGTTTCCTGTGTTTCCTGATGATGTCATCATGGCAGGGTCATTGCCGCAATCTGTTATCACCGCATAACGTATGCTACAAATATTGTACATTTGCTCTGTGTAATTAAGACACATTAGTTTATCAAAAAATCTCAGCAGCACAGACTTTATTGTAAGGCCTTTTTTTTTTTTTTTTAGCTCCTGTGAGTTTGACACGTGTGTTATGACTTATTATTCAACCCTAAAAGTACATTTAATTGTCCTAAAATTGAACACAGGGGGGTCCGGGTCAGGAGCAGATAGATGGAGCGTTCGTGTGAACTAAGATAAATGACATGTTAAAATGTCATGTATAAATGCTAAAATACTAAAAAATGTTTTTAGCATTTTTTATGCCATCTATTGGCGAAATGTGGGTATTGCAGGACAAAGGCAGAAGTATAATGATATAAATTAGAGGATACATTTATTATAAATAAATTATATAATTTGGAAATGTTTGGCGGGCCAGATTATAGGCTGAATGTGCCGCATCTAATAATCTAATAAATGCCGTTTATCTTGCTGTATTACAGATAGTGATTTCGTGCAATAACCAACTTCCTCCAGGTCCATGTGTTTTTTTTCTTCGGTACCGAATACCTTTTTTAGTGTCCTGATGCTTACCCCAAAGTGTGGCTGATGAGCCAGAAAATGAAGCAGGTCCTTGTTTGCGAACACAATACTAAAGTATAAACTGTTTCTTTTCTCAAGACTCCCCCAAACCGCATGATCTGAACTGTAGACTCGTAAATGTATGTCTTTTTCTCATAACGTTCCAACTTGTCGTTTTTGTCGAGTCCACTTGCGATTTGATTCAGTGCTTTTGTGCCTCCTTGTGGTCAGTCTTTGAACGAACTAACTCTAACGTTAATCTTGTTCCAGTTGGAGTTGGAACGCGCCGCCGTACGGAGGCTGGAGTTGGAGCAATCCCAGTTAATGACCAGGATGGAGGAGCTGCAGCAGGAGCAGCTCTCCTCTCTGTCCCTGGAGCTACAGAAAGCCAGCAGCCAGGCCAAGGAGGAGGCGCAGAATGTCTCCCAGCTCCGTGCCACACTTCAAAAGGAGAGTGCTGCCCTCGAAGCCCTGCAGAAGGTTCTGGAGACCGAGCGAAGCAGGGCAGATCAACTGGAGGCCAAGTCGGAATGGCGGCAGGCCGACTTTGACATGGAACGGGAGCAGATGAAAGCCCGAATAACCAAAGAGGAGGACAGGAGCAGAGAGCTGGAGAAGCAGCTGGAGGAACTGAGAAAGAGGTTGGCGTTAGTCGAAGGAGGTACAGAAGGAGTGAAAGACTCTAAGGCCATGTTGGTCTCTACCTCTGTCCAGACCGACCCTGCTGGAAGAGAGACGCTAGCCCCAAATGCCTCCCTGTTGTCCAAAATCAACGGACATCATGGTCAAAAAGAGACGACGAAGGAGGTAAAAGAAGCCGAAAATGGAGCATCGGACAATGAAGGAGGAGAAGCATCCTTACATTCTCCTCTTCACCCGACCCCTCACTCCCCATCCAGCCCTGCCTCCTGCTCCCTGTCCTCTTCCCCTGTCTCCTCCCCCGTCCTCACCAAGCGTCCAGGATTCCATCAGCCCTCTTACCAGGCTGGAGTCAATCAGAGATTCCAGGCGGCTCGCCACAAATTCCAGAGTCAGGCAGAGCTGGACCAGCAGCAGGGAGGCCCTCTGTCTCCCAGGGACCTCTCCCCTACCACCGCCTTGGTGTCCCCCCCTCCGGAGCACAGCACAGCCAAACAGCTAGCCCGGAACACTGTGACCCAGGTCCTGTCCCGCTTTACCAGCCAACAGGCCGGAGTGAAAATGACTCAAATCAGCAGCTCACCATTCGGCACGGACTACAGAAATCTATCGCCATCTCCCTCTGGAGGAAGGTCTCCATCTTCAGGACCCCTGTCTCCGGGAATCCGCTCGTTCGTCGCTCCAAACTCGGAAAAAACACACCCTCCGCCAATTCCTCCGAAAAGACCTGGAATGAGTCCGACGCCAGGTTCCCCGAGTCATTCTCCTCGGACGAGTCATTTCCCGGAGTTGACCGGAAACAACAACAGCGTGAGCCAAGAGGGGGGCAAAGAGCCTGATGCGCTCTTATCTTCCAGCAGCTGAAAATGTGCCTGAGGCTAATCAAAGCACTGTTGGGTTTTTGTACCTAGTGTAGTAGAACCTGGGAGCACACTCCGGAACCCTACGTCGATCCGTGTGAAGACCAGGAAAAGTTTCGTCCATCCTCTTTTCCAAAGTCAGTTTGGGTTTTCTCGACCTTCAAGGATAATCTCCGCTAAATCATTTGCATGTAGCACAACCACAAAAACTGGCTAACACCCAAATAAATACAGTTATGTTTGGAACGTTGTCCTTGGAACAAAAGTATTCTAGTATCAGGGTAAGGGTGATTAACAGCAGTAATCAACAGCAGGTTTTTTTTTTTTTTTTTTAATGCCGATTCTGCGACCTTCGCGGTTCGTAAATATTTCTAGGAGCTGACATGGAAAATCTGCGACCTTCACGATTCGTAAAAATATTTCTAGGAGCTGACATGGAAAAATGGCGCCAACCTTGTTCCATCAATATTCCTGGAATTCCGTCTCTATGATTTTTTGACGGATTAGTTCCGTGACCAGAGCACAGTGGGTGAATGACTTTGCCGAGTTGACCTTTTTTTGCACAACACTGCCAGCACAAATGTTTCTTAAAAAGACATTCTGCACATTACCTAAGGAGACCAGCAGGGGACAGTAGCCGGTAATTTGTCAAAGCGAAAACAGCTGATAGGGTTTTAGCTAATGTTGTTAGCAGATTCCCTTGAACTTACCTGTGGATCTTCTATTACTGTATCTCACACGACGACACATCCAAGTTCACCAATGTTCCACCGAGAGGTTCCGCGTCTACCTCTTCACCACAACTACTGAAAAGGATCTGGCAAAACTTTATAATCTAGGATTTAATGGAATATTTCTTTAAATGAACTCTTTGTAATACTTTAATACTTAAATCCTAACCTCCAACGTTTTTGTTTTTTTAAAGTAATATGTAAGTACAGCAATTTGTAATCCATTCTTAAAACCAGATGAGGTCGATGTATATTTCGACCAAAATCTCACAGAATGGAAAAAATTAACTGTTTTGCTGACCTGACTTCACTGTTTAAAATCTCTTTGAAAGATTTTAGATTTAAAAAAAAAAAACACTGTAGTTCACTAGATGGGAATTTCAAAATCCCCGAACGTAGATTGATGTGCTTGTTAAGAAAAAAAGGGGATTTTACACTAAAACACTGGCTTTTTGATATTTTACTGATGACTTTTATGCAGTTTCTGTTGTTGTGAAAACTATTTATACTGTTAAAGGAAGAAATGACATGAATGCGTTGTTGATATATCTCCGTTAGAAATCACTGATCATGTCTTAAAAAGGGGAAAAAGAAAAAAAAAACAACCTCTTTGCACTACAAAACTATGATGTACTGTTTTCATTACCAGGTAATAAACAGGAAACATTCACTTCTACTGAAAAGTCTGAAAATTCCACCTTAGGTCTAGGTCTGGATCCTGATCCTTACGATAACTACTGTTCAGTTTTTTTTAACTTGATATTTCAAAGCTTAAAGCTTTAGTTCTAACTTGTTTCTGTAGATTTCACCGCATCCCTACATTTGGAATTAATTTTTTAAAAAAATGCATATTTTTTTATTTTGTTCTAGCTTTTTTATGCCAAATGTATTTTTTAACTACTTTATCTAATATTGTGCTGTTTTAAAAATAACTTTTGCCTAACCTTTTTTTGAGCCATGGCACATAAACTCATGGCACACAACCAAACAAAAGTGTCCAAAAGTGTAATGCAATGAAATATAAATATATGTCAGGTTTCAATTGACTTCCTTAAACATGGGCCTGTTTAGTTGAAAAACAACAAACAACAACTGATACTCGCAGGAATTGAAGAGAGACAGATGAAGATCTGAGATGCCGTCTCTTTTTTTTTAGCCATATTCTGCCACTTAATGAAAGAGTATTTATTTGATGATGATGTCACGGCACAGTGGTTGGGTAGAGAGTTATTTGCACCTAGAGAGAAAACAGTGACAGTAGCACTGGAAGGACTGCAACCGTACCGTCTGTACGTTATCATAGTTATAAGTAACTGACGTGTTCTCTGATATTCAAACGTTCTCCGTATAAATGTGTGCCACTTACTGTACATGAACGAATCACTATCTCTCAGCTAAACAGTCGGTAAATATGCAAGGACACCAAGTGGCATTTAATAAAATCAACTCTGCCTTATTCATTGCAATGCATTTTTAATTCGGTGTATATTTCTTATCTTGTAATGTTGTTTTCGGGTAAAACTTTTTAAGTTTTTATATCAAAAAAATGCAGGTGTGGAAGCCAATAAAGTCGCATTTTTACTCCTTCATTCTCTTCTTGTTTTAGATTTCTTGTATATTGAACATGCTTTGGCTTCTTTTTTTTTTCTTTTTTTTGGCCAAATTCAGCAATTTCCTCTCATTATTTTACAAAGTAATCAACACATTGTTAAATACGTGAGTATCTTTTTAGTAAATTAGACTAACCAATTTTTATATAAACTAACGCAAATCCAATCATCGCAAGCCCCAGGCCGCGGACCGGCACCGCACAGAAATAATACACAACTTACATTATTTCCCTTTTATTTATTATCTGAGTCTGAGCAACATTTTATTTTGAAAAATTACTGGATTCTCTACGCCGTATTTGTCTATGACTCAGACTTGTCATGATGGTTGCCTCGGTCACGTCTTACCTACATTTGTCTTGATGCATGTCAAGATGGTTGCCTCGGTCACGTCTTACCTACATCCACTACCTTCTCAAAGGGTCTACTCCGGCCGGTAACACAGAATACGTTATCGCTAAGTAAAAACACCCAAGCTAGCAGAATGAAGAGAAAACAAACGCCTCTGGAAAGCTTTCTTTGCGCAGGGTAAAAGAGTCAGAGAGGAGAAAGAAGAAGAGCCTACGTCTTCTAAGAAAAAAGAAAGTTGCATTTAACAGACAATTCCTACAAGTCCGACTTGTCCGCCTTTCTAATGAGGCAATGAAGCCTTCAAAACTGCTTCGTCACTTGGAGACAGAGGTGGAACCAAGTCATTGCTTTGCAAGTCACGAGTAAGTCTCAGGTCTTTGCACTCAAGTCCGAGTCAAGTCTCAAGTGAAGACAGGCGAAGTCCGAGTCGGAGTCCAAGTCAAGACTGAAAAGTGTCAAGTCAAGTCCCAAGTCCTGCCGTTTCTCTTTCGAGTCCTTTTCGAGTCCTTTTAAACAAAATAATAATATATTTCCACAGATCACTGCCGCTCATTTTTTGTTGACCCCCTCGTCGTTTTTTTAAATCCGAACAATCACGCTCGTTGTTCGACAGCTCTTCCTCACTGGTCGTCCCGCGACTGGCTTGATGCTATCACGTCAAAACAACGTGGGTCTCATTTGATTGGATGTTGTGCCGACAGCAATTACACACACAGACGCGCACACGTACACGATGAGAGATACAGAGCGCTCCTTAATAACTTGGGTTTTGGAGAAAGTATCAAGTCTTGTCGAGTCAAAGGGCTCGAGTCCAAGTGAAGTCACGAGTCACTGACGTTAAAGTCCAAGTCCAGTTGCAAGTCTCTTCACATTTGGTCAAGTCGAGTCTAAAGTCATTTAATTGGTGACTCGAGTCTGACTCGAGCCCAAGTCATGAGACTCGAGTCCACACCTCTGCTTGGAGACGAAAGTGTTCTGTATTAAAAGACAAGCTCGATGTTACGAGGACGCTGCTAATAAAGTTGCATACACAGTGGCTTAACGTTTATTATTAGATTTAGAAAACACCAGTTTTTATGCCGGTCGTCATCATTTTATTGAGTTGTATTTATCGCCCCCACACCTTAAAGGCCAGTCCGTGAAAAAATTTGTACAAGACAAAGATTCATTTTCATTCTATGGATAGTTTTTGTTCTGTACATAAAAATGAAAAAAAAATGTCAGTTTTTGTTGATGGGATTTTTACACTCATCACATGACGACAACATTCTGACTCAGGATCTAAACCGCGTCTGTGACTCTGTAGTTTTAATATCGCTGAACAACCGATTGTGCCAAAAAGACTAGCAACCAAAGTTGTAGCGTCTGTTTATTTGTACAACAGTAGGGGGCACTACAGTCTTTAAGGTCAGCACTGACAGGTGTAGGAGAACAGAACAGTGAAAAACACGTGTACAGATGTCGATGCAAATTTTTACCCAATACAGTAGAACAGATGTCGCTCTGGAAGAAACACTTCAAAAAAAAAAAAAAAAATATCAGACAAGCAGGACTTCAAATGTCTTTTGAAAAGGGAGTTTCATCTTTTTTTTTTTTTTTGCGAATTTCAGAATTGAATATTTGTAATTTAAAAGATTGAGAGTCCATCGGAACTCGCAGAGGCTTCTTGGATTTGATGCAAAACATTTTCAAAGCCAAAAAAAAAAAAACGGCAAGTTGTAGCCTTTTTTTTTTGATTATTTTTAAAAAACAATCAACTGATTCAAGTCAGTTCAATTTAGTTTAGTTTGGGTTTAAACAGTTATATTTCAACAGTCGCCTTCGTCCTTCGCATTTAATTGATTCAGTCGTAAATCCAAAAGAACCCAGGTGACTACATGTGCTTCATTTCTGTGATCAGCTGCCGTCTCTTAAGTACACACGTTTTTGGTTTCAGTCAATCTGTTACGAACAAGTCTTGACACACACACACACACACACACACACGCTGATCCAAACAGAACCATTATTTAACACACGACGTCTAAACATCACTGTTTTTTGTTTTTTGTTTTTTTTTATTCCTTGCCCTGTGGGTAGTTTTGCTTTGGTTAGTTTGTACGGTGAACGTGTAAACAGGTGTATTGTGGGTAAAGTGGAGTCTCAACACTGACCTCCGCCTTTAAGCATTCTGCATCTCTTTTCCGATCTTGTAGCTGAGAATTTTGTTCCAGTCGATCTTTGTGCGCGTGACGGGCAGCTGACGACGCAGGGCCTTGAAGGTGGTGTCGGACATGGTCTGGTAGTTCTCGCTGATGGCAGTCTGAGGGCAGAAAATAGCCGAGCCATTACAGCAGAAGTGTCAAACTCAGCAACACAATTCCCCTTGAAGGGCCGGTTTTAAATGGAATATAGATCAGGGGTCCCCAACCCCTGGTCCGCGGACCAGTACCAGTCCATAGGTCATTTGGTATCGGTCCGCAGTGGGACACAAAGATACAAACAGAACAGAAAATGTTATGATACTTCAATGCTCAGTACCTTGGACAAATCCTTGGAACAAAAAGTCAGGGACCTCTGGTATAAATGTAGCTCCTCCATAACAGACTAATACATGTTTCTACAATTGATTATTATGAATTCAAGCTACAAATATTGTTCATTGCTGTGTAATAAAAAAAAGTTTAATTTCATAGAAAAAAGTTTAATTTTCAGAAACTCCGGACCAGAAAAAAACGGCTTGCCGGGCCACGATTGGCCCCTGGGCCTTGAGTTTGACACGTATGCATTACTGGAATACAGCGTTTCCCTTTCTATATTGCGGCTCTACTTTCGCTCCGTCAGTACATCGCAGATTTCGTGAAATATAGCAAAAAAATAATAATACATATAAAGGTTTTGTCTTTAAAAATGTGGATTCTTGATTTAAAATTTGCGAACGATCGCTGCGTTAGCGTTGTTTACCAAGACGAGATCGTACGCAGCATACTATCGGCTAATGCAATGCGTACTCGGTGCACTATTGGCTAATTGAGCGCGCTCTTCGGTTCCTCGCGCTGATTGGCTCATGCGTCGTAGCACCTCTCAGCATCTTCGCAGATTTTCCCCATTTCGCGGTGGGTCTCGGAACGCAACTACCGCGATAGGAGAGGGATCACTGTATAGCCACCTTTTGGCTGTCAAGTACCCAGAATGCTTCAGGATAAGACACCAGTTTTCTTCTGGGTTAGTTCTGTTGTTTAAATCTATAATAATTCACAAAGAGCAGCTTACCTGATAATCGTTTTCAGCATTTTCTATAAAGGTGACAAATTCCTTGGCAGTCTGGAGTTCACTCTGTTTTCGGAAAAAACACAGATTCAGGAGATTCAGAAGGGAAAGAAACATAAATAAAGCAAGAGTAAAAGTAAAGCCAGGTGTGTAAGTTATGACGAATGAGGAAAAACAAGTATTTTGTTCGTTGTTACAAATTCTCAGTTACAGCTTCTCAACATCAAGTAGGAAACATAAGAATAAGACGTCTTCTATTGATGGTTATTTTTGAATCCAGGCGCTGAATGGATTTGTTAACAAATATTTTTTTTTTTTGTAGTCTTAGTATTATGTGTCATGACAGCCCTTAACACCTTTCTATTTTTATTTATTATTTTTATTTTATTTGCATTAGATTTTTTTTGTATTTTTTCATTATTTATTTTTATTTTTGACAGTAATTTTTTTTTTTATTTAGCATTTATTTCTTAATTTTAAATAGATTCTGGAAGTTCACGGCACTGCTGATTTTATTTGATGTTTAATGGGTTTAATAATTTGGATTATTTAAAAAGTATAAATACAACATAAGTTATTTGAAGGGAAATTTGAACAGGAAGGCATGAAGGAAAATATCAGATTTACTATTTATCATGTGCAAAAACGACGCTTTGTGCTTCCAGAGTCAATGAGTAATTGTGAAGAAGAAGAACTTTTTTTGTAGCTTCTCCCTTTATCGGGAGTCGATAAAGGGTAAAGCCGTAGTTCCAAAAGCAAAAAATGATCGGACTACGGTTGAACGGTGATCTAACAAACCATGAGCTTTTACAGATAATATCGGTGAATATTTACTCACAGTCACTGGTATTGACTCCTCCACCTCCTTGTGACTGACCAGCTGAACGTTTCCATCTTCGTAATAGTGCACCTGCAGACGGACGGGCAAACGGACAGTGTTTACCACCTGCTGCCATCCTGATCTGGGATCACTCGAGTGAACTTACCTGGATTTTTAACACTCCCACCACCTGAGCAGTGGATTGACCAATGGTCAGCTTCCACTCTGACCTGCAGCGACCATTCCTGTGTGACACAACAAACAGGACAGGACAGGATTGGATTGGAATGAAGGACACATAAGATCGCACTTTGATATCAGCAGTGTCGACTTGGTACCGACGCAGCACCACGTATTTGGATTATTCAAAATGGGCGACCAATTTCTAACATTGTAATGTGTCCCGTAATGTCCATCATCTCGTTAATTGGGACTTGGCCGCCATAAACTCATCGCCAGGTTTGTGAGTGAGGTCTAAATGGAATTCCAACAATGAAACTTCTGGATGGCCTCCAAGAATCCTACAACCGCTGCATCATCAAACTAACCTAGGGCGCTTCGGTCATTCTACATCAGTTAAACGCTTCTGAGAGAATGTTTTGTGAGACTGTGGTCAGCCAGCGCTGTGTGTCAGGAAAGCAGATGACCTCTGCTGCTCCACTCCTCTTTCTCAAGTTCTTACTCATTTTGATTTTCTAAAAGCCAACCACCGGAATACTCCTGTAAGTTTGGCCTTCAGGAAAGGGAGTTTTCTCAAGCAAAATATTAATAAAAAAAAAATATATATATATATATACACATAAATATATATATATACACATAAATATATATATATATATATATACACATACATATATACATACATACACATACATATATATACATACATACATATATACATACATACATATATACATAGATACATATACTGTATATACATATGTACATACATACATATATATATACATATATACATACATACATACATACATATATACATAGATACATATATATACATACATACATATACATACATATATATACATATATACATATATAGTGCCATATATATATTTATATATATACATATATATAGTGCCATATATATATACACATATATATATACATATACACATATATATACATATACACATATATACACATATATATACACACATATACATATATACACACATATATATATATATATATATAATATACTTGCACCTTTGTCCAGCCCACATCTAATTAAGTTTTATGTGGCTCGTAAACCAAAACGAGTTTGACATACTAAAAATGTGTGTTCCCTCGGTTTCCTCAAACAACAACTAGCCTACACAAATGTGCTGAACAGGTTTACAAGTAGTCATCGTACCAAAAGTTCTTGGGTTGAAACTGGTGTCCTTCGATGCATGCTATAATTGTTTGCTGCCCATCCACAGTTTTCCCATACACCTGAAACACACACACACAGGTAACGTGTATTGGCTTTGTGTGTAAATAAGTACAGCCGTATTTTGAATGTACTGCGAGACGACTCCTGGTCAACGTACCGTACAGACACCGGTAGGGTAGTGCTCTTTGACATAGGCACTCAGGGCGGTGTCGCAGCAATCTCTCCAGCTCCTGAGGGACGAGTCTACTTCGTACGACTGAACGTCGCTTACCTCTTTTCTAAGGTGGTCAAAGCGGAACGACAAATTGTTGCGTGGGTCCAGGAAACAACCCTGACCCAGGTCACCGTGTTCTGTGATCAGAACCTAAAGAAAGAGAAAAAAAAAAAAAAAAAAAAAACCTCCAAAAAAATCCACCAAATTTGACAAACGTAGACTTGGACAACAATAAAAGCATTTCAGACAAACAAGGATTTACGAAACTTACTGGCTCGTCATAGCCCTCGATTTTGGCAGGGGTGAACTGATCCATGTTGTACTGGGCAAAGGAGCTAGGAACGTTGGAGAGAAAAGACAATTTAAGGAGACGGTCAACTGCAATTCATGAGTAAATGCGCTTGTTTTTTTTTTTTTTGCAAAAATTGACAGTCGAGTACTGACAAAATGGCACGGAAATCGCATCCAATTCATTTGTCAACAGCATGGGCAGAATGGCACCGACTGTATATCCAATCATTCATACACTCAGTGTTGCTGCAGTACTAGCCAATACACATTGTTTTTTTTTTTATAATGAAAGTTTGATTTTTTTTTTTTTTTTTTGCAAATAATATTGATACTTTACATATATTGAATTAATTCCACCATTTTGGTTTAGTCACAAATAAAACTATGAAATGCAAAACTCCATCTACTGTTATTTGTCCTTTTATTATTGCAATATATAGAAATAAAGGAATTTTGTTTTATTTAGTAACATCAATTTATCTGGATTAACCATGATTGTGATTTGAATCAATGACTATGACCATTTTTGTGTTACCCTGTAAACAAATTTAAATTATGATCTTTGACAACCCTCTGAAAAACAACAAATCAACTGTTTAGAGCAAGGGGCCACATGCAGGTGCGCTGCTATTTAATATTCTTATATTCATTTATGGTCATGAACTTTGGGACATGATCGAAAGAACAAGATCCCAGACTTGTTGCTCCGACTGTTGCCCGCGCGACCAGTCCCCCGGATAAGCGGACGACGATAGATGAATGAATATTAATTTAAAGGCTAGGTGAAATTGTGGTGTGAAGGTGAAATAAGAAAACCAAAAAAAAAAAAAAAAAAAAACCAATAATTGAATCAGTGCAATTTATTCTTAACTTGTTCATCTCTACAAACAGTGAAAAAACAACAAGCGACCTAAGTTTTAGAACTACAACAAGGCAACAAAAACGATAACTTGTAATGCTGTCACCTTATTTGACCTCTTCAGGGAGAATAAGCCAGTCTTCTCTGGCCTTGAACAACAGGTGTGGAAAGTTCTCTTCGAGGGAGGAGGGGAAAAAAGTCCAGCAGTGTGACAGAGCCATTTGTTCCATTTCAGTCCTAAATTGTCCAAACATGCATTTACCTGGGTGAACCAGTCATTACCAGTGGCTGTCCCTTTCATTGACTGCATGGCTGCCTGCTTCAAAGCTAGAGGAAAAACAGTCAAATTTGTCCGCCATTTTCTTAAGCTGAAGCTCCAAGATCGCAGCGATGTCTTCAACGCACCCCGTTACAGCGCGTCGGGAGAGTGACACGTTCTCAAATGCGCCCTTTTTCTCCAGGCAACAGAGTCCAATAAGCACTCTGTGGGTGTGAAGTTTGGTAAAAAAAAAAAGTCCTTGTTGGGGTTTCCAGTTTTGCTAGCAATGCATCGGACCACCAGAAATTAAGCACACGGTGGCTTAGTGGTTAAGGAAGCGGACTTGGGTCCAGAAGGCTTCAGGTTCGAGTTCTCCAGCTGCCAAGTTGCCACTGAGGTGCTCGGAGCATGGCTCCGTCCCCAACACACTGCTCCCCGGGGGCTTAACGCTGCCCACTGTTCACTTTGGTGATGGGTTAAAAGCAGAGGTCACATTTGGTTGTGTGCAGTGTCACAATGACCAGTAGTTCACTTTCCTTCCGGTCATTTCTGTAGAGAAATACTTGGCAATCCGTCTTGTTCAAAACACGGCATTGGTTTTCAACTTTTCTTTTCTCACATCTTGACGGTAACCGGCTCGCACCACTTGCCGCTGTTCACCTGACACTCACAGCGCTCGTACTACGAACTTGACGATTTTTCAAAATAAAAGTACCACAGTTGCATTTGACGCACAACATGGATTTTTTTTTATTATTATTTAATGTCTGTTGTAATTTAGAATTGGCCGTAATATGCACAGGTCTGGTTTAGAGAAATATTTATACAAATATAATAAATGTAATTAATTATTGAATTATTCGTCATTACTTACTGTGAAGCCCCCTCCCTAAGGAGGTTGTCGTTGTTGAGGAGAAGCCGCACATCTGGAGAGGGAGAGAAACAGTTTAAAACAAACGTGATAAATGACATTAAATATGATTATCATATCATTCTTACCATTGAAGACTTCGTTAAACTCTCCCGGTGGAGCATGAGTGACAAAATTGGCTGCAATGCGAACCTTCAGAAACAAATTGCACACAAATGGTTTAGATAAATCAGTCCATTAAAATAAGTATTTATGCACATATAACACAGTTTCACTTTATTCGAGGCTTTTTAGATACATATTTGTAGTTAAGATTGAACTCCGTTAATTAATTAGCAGTAGCCCCTATACTGTAGCACAGTGAATAAAATCAACTGAATTAATTTTCTAGCGGTAGCCCCTGTACTGTAGCACAGTGAATAAAATCAACTGCAACAGCTTCTTCACTTTTACACCAGGCTCATTTTACACTTCAGGCACTCATTCGTGCACTAATCTGGGATCCACGTGAGCAGCCAAAACTTTATTTGGGCTGCTGAAATGGAATCTGACCCGTGCAAGAGATCCTTGTTAGCTGATGAGGCTCTAGTCGTTATTCTACAAACAGTAAACCGTTACCATGGTAATACGCCCATAAACGGATCCATTATTTCGATATTAATGACATATTAGTTTCAACCTAAAGTGTTTGACGGGTTAGAGGAAGCTCCGTTAAAGTTTTCGCGAATTCTCTACATTAGGCTCAATTAGCACAGGCTAGCTAGCTGCTAAGCGCAGCTGCAAAACAAGAGTATTGTTTGCTTTACGGCACAGATATACTACTTTAGGATTTCTCCAGACGGAACGCAGCAATAACTCGCGTTACCGAAAAAAACCCCAGTGTAAGTAAACCCTGTTTATAAATAAAAAAAGTGCTCATACTTTCTCGTCATCTGATAGCGGCTCCTCAAAGTCCTCCATCTTGGCTCCTTTTGACCACACCCACTATCAGCTGTTTGTTGACGTCACCGTCACGGTCACAGAGCACCTTACAAAAAGCAAACGTGAAACGATTACTGTGTTTTAAGAATATTACAATTTAACGAAGGAGTATTAGGGCCACATCGAGAATGAAAATAATACAATTTCGAGATAGAGCACCCTGCAAAAAGCAAACGTAAAACGATTACTGTATTTTAAGAATATTACAATTTTACGAAGGAGTATTAGGGCCACATTGAGAATGAAAATAATACAATTTCGAGATAAAAATCTTAAATTCATAAAGAATAAAGCGTAAACGCGTAGCGTATCGTTACAAAAAGGTTACAAAAGAAAAACGTTGTAACGTTAATAGAAAAAAAGTCGTATATTTACGAGAATAGAGTAATAATTCAACGGTATTACAGTCATAAATAAAGTGATATATTTTTAGTTTGTAGTATTTTTGGGGAGACCAGAGGGAGGCTAGGACAAAGGCTAGCTCGGGCTTTTTACAAGTTTGCGTTTCTCGTCTCTTTACGTTTATGCTAATATCATATACGACTTTATTCTAATAAATGTATGCGTTTATTACCCTAAACGTTCGACGTAACGGCCTCATTCACATGAATTTACGACTTTAATTTAGTAATACAGTATATAGTAATATAAACAGTAATTGTATTAGCGCCTTTTATTTTCTTTTTTAAAATCTTACTTATTGGGTTAAAAATCCAGAATTAAACTTGTTTTGTCGCTTTTTGTTTTATGTCTGAACATTTCCTGTGAAGGATATCTATCCTGGCTTTTTGTACAATCTATTTTTTGTACAATCTATTTTTTTTTTTGTAATTTTGCAATTCTTCCAAGACCCAGCAGGGGGAAGGCCCCACACTCTGCAAGCAAGCAAGAGAGAGCGTGAGAAGGAGTAGTGTGAGAAGCGGTAAAAAGAGCAAAGAAAACAGAGCCTGCTCTCTCTCTCTCTCTCTCTCTCTCTCTCTCTGTCTGTCTCTCTCTCTCGTTGGAGGATGAAGAAAATTGACTATTATAGTGCCATTATAGGCTAATTGTTATTTCTTGTTATTTCTGTGCCTCTGAAAGCGACAGATTGGGAGAGGGGCTTCCCCACAATCCCCTGTGCGGTTCTCACCATTTGGGCCGAGTCCTTTATGTTTTGCACCTGACATATCACAGTCATGCTGAGACAGTGGGTTTTTCAACTTCCTGAGAAGAAGAGTCTCTGGTGTCTTGACAGAAGTCAGGTCAGACAAGATGTGGAACCTTTGTAGTCCAAACATTCCTGCGTATGAAGAGAGGAGCGCGTTCCGTCTTCCTAAGGTTTCCTGTAATCCACAATGACCTCCTCCGTCCTGCTGTTGCTCAGGCTAAGGTCACTGGCCGTATTCCAACGGAAGCCCCTCACGCCGTAGCGAGTCTGGTCGTTGCCTGACTGGTTGACTAATTGTGTTGGTGAAGAAGATGGCGGGGAACAGTCTGTCTCTGCCATTCCTCAGCTGTTTGCGTTGAGCTGAAACCACCTTCATGAACCTGCTTGGAGGGCCGGCTCTAAAAATAAACGAGTGAGGCCCCCACGCAGTCTCACACAGTCAGTCAGGCAAAGAAAGGGAAACACTGAAACACATGAGAGAGAATGTAGTGGGCGAGGAAAAGGAAACCCCCCCCAGCCCCCAGCGTGACCTCCATGTCATCAAAGAATAGTCATAATTCAACAAAGGAATATTCTGAAAGTGTTGAGTACAAAATAAATAAAAAATAAAAAATAAAAAATAAAACCATCAATTGAGTTTTGAACGAACATCCAGAGCAGTTCAAGGACACACAACGATCAGACAGAATAAGATAAAGGGGTTAAATGTATGTATAATTTAAAGCCATTATATGACTGACCTTCATATTGTGATTGAATTATGTCCGGGCTCTTTTCTCAAAGAAGCACTTAAACTAGAACGAGAGACTCAATTGAAGCAAAAGATCACTTCAAACTTTAATGAAGCCTCAAGCCTGACTGGAATTACTGTGAAAACACACACGCACGCACGCACGCACACACACACACAGACATGATGTCAGACGCTAAATGTCCTTTAAATTCCCCTGCCTTCTGCTCTTTCGAACGCCGTCGTTACAGCCCAACGCTGACTTTATCAAAGGCTCGTAGGAGGAGTGTAAAACGTTCAGGCTTCCATATGTCGTTGAACTGACAGATGGATCAATTGCAGCTTCCATTCTTCCACAGTCTCTTAAGTTTCCTTCCCGGTGTTCTCCTGCGTGTATTATTAGCGTCAACAGTCAAGTAATCATCAGCGCTGGCATTTTCACCTTTGACCCCTCGCGTGACTGTTTTACACTAGGACACTAGGTCACAGACATTTTACTGCAGGTGCTGCCCCTCTCACACACACTTTTACTCCTGTCTGCGTACGGAACGGAGTGGAAGTACTGTCTGAGAACAGGAGAGTATGTGAAGCTATTTTGATCTTTGTCTTTCGCTCTTTCTGTCAGTCTGTACCGTATACGGTAGAACCATCATTAATTGTGCATTCATCATTTTTAAATATTATTTAATACATTTTATCAGTTTCAGACAAATGGAAGTTGACTGACAATCCAGTAAGTTTATTTTTTTTTAAAATACTTAATAAGACCTAATCGAGGTAAATGAAACAAATTAGAATTATTCTGAATTATTTACAGGACAAATTAATAAAAAAATATTTTTCCTTTGGGAACAGTGGGCCCAAGCTTCTCAAAGTATTTATTTAAACTTTAAAATACGTTTTGGATATATTGCATTACAACTTTACAATAGCAGACACTTACAATTTTTACAATTAGTTACAGTAAACATACAAAATACAAAGACGCATCAATAATAATAATAAATAGTAATAAATAATAATACATTGTGAAAGCGCAGTTATAGTCACGGCAGGTCATAAGAATATGTCGCAAGTGAGTCATTAGATTAATAAGTCATAGAGTAAGAAAAGGTGAAAGTTACCCCTTTTTTATAGCAACATACCAACATATACCACTATAATAATGTGGGTCAACATGGTACATATATTATTATTATTATTATTAATATGGCTATTGTAATGAATAACTGCATGCGTGACACAGGGTTCTTGAATCTGGAATGTAATTTGAGCTTAAACTATATTTATTTTTACTCCACATTTGCTCTTACGTTTTTTTCTTTTTTTTTTTGTTTTTCTCACATAACTGAAATCAACTTTTATTTTTTTTTTTTCAACAACTTTTTTTCTTTAGCCACTTTTGACTCTCTCCTGGCTAACACTTGTTCCTCCATGTTAACCAGGTTCATGTCATTGTTGGACATCAATTATGTACAGTGCGATAATGTTAATAAATCAGATACAGAGACTGCACACACAAGTGTCTGTGTGTGTGAGAGAGAGAGAGAGAGAAACTGAGTGGTGTTAAGTATCACATTATTTGCTCGAGCTTCTCTTTGTTAGTGTCACTCATTTATCCGTGTGTGTGTGTTCGTGCGTGCCGGTGTGTTTGTGTCTCCACCTTGGCTCTGGTTTCTCCTGCCCAGGCGTAAAGTTACTCACTGCAGACTGTGATAGATCAGTCATTCTGACCCTGATTGTGAAGGCAGCACCGACCTGCAGCTGCTGCAACTTGGGGGCCGTAGACACACAAACACACATTGCGTTAACGCCGGTCTCAGAGAGGTAAGGTGAGAACTGTCTATGTCTCTCTTTTTTTTTTTAAACAAACATACAAAATCTCCAAACAAGTTTCTTTTGTTAAGCCGGGTTTCCAAGCAGATGAATAAATGCATGCAGTAGACGTGGTTCTGTTGAGCTAACCTCCGCAGAGAAAGTAATTGGCTTTTACTCGACGACACGCGGGGTTGGTTTTCAAATGCTGTCTCCATCATTGAAATCAAACGTGTTAGTTTTGTCCCCTTGCTCCATTTGTAGTTGTGCATACAAACTGACCACAGGAGGCAGCGGTGGACTAGTAGTGGTTGTGTTATCGTCAGCTATCAATGATTTTTGTTGTTGTTGTTGTTGTGGCTTAGTACAAAAAGTAAAAAAAATTTCAATATTTGTTGTTGTTTTTATTAAATGATAGATGGCTGAATCAATCAAAACACTTTTAAATGCAAAACTTAGAAGACTTTTTTTTTCCGAGTTAAACAAATCTAGAAAATTAAATGAAAAAACAACCATGTTCTAACGAAACAATAGAAGCCAATAAAGTAACCGTCTAATTCTTGGGTTATCTAAGGATTATAGATACAGCAAATAATTCGCTCACATTGAAGTCCATAGATGTAACCACCAAGGTCCTGTGTCGCTGTGAGGTACAATCACTGATTTCCTCTATGAACTTTCAGTCTAGGACAGAGAAAGGGTTTACTAAGTAGCTTATTGAGTTTGGCTAAAAAAAAAAAATCATTTAGTTGTAGTCCAGGTGTTGACCTAAGGTTTGTCGATCCTTAAAACTATCCATTTGTTTGATTGTATACATCTGTATATTCTGAAAAAGAAAACACAAACGTACCAAGACAACAATGGTATACTAAGTCTTCACTGTCATCCTGCTGCACAGGGTTCTTGAACCTGGAATGTAATTTGAGCTTAAACTATATTTATTTTTACTCAACATTTGCTCTTACGTTTTTTACTTTTTTTTTTTGTTTTTCTCAAATAACTGAAATCAACTTTTATTTTTTTTTTTTTTTCAACAACTTTTTTTTTTAGCCACTTTTGACTCTCTCCTGGCTAACACTTGTTCCTCCATGTTAACCAGGTTCATGTCATTGTTGGACATCAATTATGTACAGTGCGATAATGTTAATAAATCAGATACAGAGACTGCACACACAAGTGTCTGTGTGTGTGTGTGTGAGAGAGAGAGAGAAAGAGAGAGAGAGTTAAGGAGATCTCCAGTGATCTAATCACCTTGTTCCACATGAAAGAATATTGATCATTACATAGATCAGCGTGCGACACGCTTACAAAGAGAGAGAGAGAGAGAGAGAGAAACTGAGTGGTGTTAAGTATCACATTATTTTCTCGAGCTTCACTTTGTTAGTGTCACTCATTTATCCGTGTGTGTGTGTGTGTTCGTGCGTGCCGGTGTGTTTGTGTCTCCACCTTGGCTCTGGTTTCTCCTGCCCAGGCGTAAAGTTACTCACTGCAGACTGTGATAGATCAGTCATTCTGATCCTGATTGTGAAGGCAGCACCAACCTGCAGCTGCTGCAACTTGTGGTCCGCACACACACACACACACAGTGCGTGAACGCCGGTCTCAGAGAGGTAAGTTGAGAACTGTCTATGTCTCTCTTTTTTTTTTTAAACAAACATACATAATCTCCAAACAAGTTTCTTTTGTTAAGCCGTGTTTCCAAGCAGATGAATAAATGCATGCAGTAGACGTGGTTCTGTTGAGCTAACCTCCGCAGAGAAAGTAATTGGCTTTTACTCGACGACACGCGGGGTTGGTTTTCAAATGCTGTCTCCATCATTGAAATCAAACGTGTTAGTTTTGTCCCCTTGCTCCATTTGTAGTTGTGCATACAAACTGACCACAGGAGGCAGCGGTGGACTAGTAGTGGTTGTGTTATCGTCAGCTATCAATGATTTTTGTTGTTGTTGTTGTTGTGGCTTAGTACAAAAAGTACAAAAAATTTCAATATTTGTTGTTGTTTTTATTAAATGATAGATGGCTGAATCAATCAAAACACTTAGAAGACTTTTTTTTTCGAGTTAAACAAATCTAGGAAATTAAATGAAGAAAAAAAAAACAACCATGGTCTAACGAAACAATAGAAGCCAATAAAGTAACCGTCTAATTCTTGGGTTATCTAAGGATTATAGATACAGCAAATAATTCGCTCACATTGAAGTCCATAGATGTAACCACCAAGGTCCTGTGTCGCTGTGAGGTACAATCACTGATTTCCTCTATGAACTTTCAGTCTAGGACAGAGAAAGGGTTTACTAAGTAGCTTATTGAGTTTGGCTAAAAATAAATCATTTAGTTGTAGTCCAGGTGTTGACCTAAGGTTTGTCGATCCTTAAAACTATCCATTTGTTTGATACTGATTCAAAGGCATACTAAGTCTTCACTGTCATCCTGCTGCTGCTGCTCGTCACTGCTTGATCCGTGTCTGAGTGTGTTCACTCACTCGCCAACAATTTTCATGTCTGTTTCTCTCTCTCTCTCTCTTGCTCTCTTGCTCTCTCTCTCTCTCTCAGCTACTTGGTTTTGCTGGCATTTCAGTGGGTGACTCATCCTAGGAGTCCTTAATTAAACATCTGCAGGTATCGGTGCTTGACAACATGCTCTCTCTCTCTCTCTCCCTCTCTTTCTGTCTTCTCACCCTTTCTCTCTCTCTCTTTCTCTCTCTCACACTCTCTTTTACTTTGCTTTGAATGCTTAGTTTCAGACTAGGGTAATTATAATTTTTGTTTTAGCTAAATAGAGCTCTAATGTATTATGATGCATTGATAAATATTCATCTTTAGTTTCAGACCATAACGAACGAGTTTAGGGTAGATGGGCTAATGCTATTACAGGTAATTTTATTATGATGCATTGATAAATATTCATCCACTTGGTACCAGCTTGAATCTAAGGTAAAGAAAATGCCTTCAACCGTTTTATTTTTAAAGGTCTCCTCAATGATCAATTCTATAAATCTGGAACAAAACAAAAAAAAAAATTATTTAACTGAGGTTGCTGTTTATGTTTAAACAGATGAAAGAAAGAAGTAGGGATGTCCGATAATATTGGCCAACTCACATTGCCCGATTGGCCCGATATTAGCATATTTATGTAATATCGCTAGGAATCGTTAATGGTATTTTCTCCAATAATGAAAACCCGATAACACCATTCCCGTTTTCGCCAAATATACTAGAATAGCTTTAAAAAATTATTTTGTACACCCAATGTTATGATGAATGCCTCTAGTGGGCCATCACAATAAATGCAGGTAATGTGTTAATTCCACGACAGGAGATACTGTATGTGATGTGATCCCAAAATAGTTTGGTTGAGATCGGAATCGGAATTAAGTGTTTGGACAATATCAGCAGATTGGATATTGGCAAAATGTTAATATGGGACATCTCTAGAAAAAAAGCTAATAACAGAGACCACCCGACTCTTTAATACCAAAGTTCGTCTTCAAGACATTAATCGAAGGAGGGTAGGCAGGGGCAGGTGTTGAATTATTGAGCTTTTATTATACTGTTCTGGAGTTTATGTCATTAGCAGAGTACCAACTTATTGTTGTTCCTCACTGACTCTGTATTTCTGCCGCGGCTGGTTTCCACAGAGATTAGTATCTAAGAAACAAGAAGTCATGTACCTTTAGATGTCAGCTAACAGAACAAGGCGTTTTATCTTCAGAAAGACACTGATGCCCACTCTTTGTCTGTCACACCGCAGGTGTAAGAGAGAAAATACTCTCAGAGCTGCTGAAGACTAAATCTTCTGCTGCCTTGTAGTCGGCATCTGTTCATCTTCTCACACGGTTGATCGTCTTAACCTGGGGTCCCAAAGTTTCAGGCTGGCTGAGTTGCAGCCATGGAGGTGGCCTTGGTAAACTTTGATGGCCTAGAGCCTCTGGACATCAGCCTTGAGGACGAGGTACAAGGCTACGCTGATCAAACCACGGCTCTGACTGTGGATCTACCCTCAGTTCACCATGTCCAGGGCGGAAACTTCCTAGCACATTCGAATCAGGTGTCTGCCGCACCCTCCTTCCACAACACAATGCCCTCCTGTATGTGGGGGGCCAGTTCTTCGACACTTAGCCCTTCTACGCAAAACCTGGTGGTTTCTGAATCTCCGCCAATGCCAAGTAGACAGGGTCGCCCCAGCTGCTCCAGCATCATAGCTAACTGGAAACTCCTGCTAAGTAATGAGAGCACAAAGGACAGCGAGACCGTCTTCACCAGGCTTGCCAGGGAGTGTTGCGAAGATATGTTTGTAGACAGAGGAGAACTCAGAGAAGGTGATCAGAAGGTTGTCATCAACATTGCTGGTCTACGTTTTGAAACACAACTCAAGACGTTGGACGAGTTTCCTGACACTCTGCTTGGGGATCCCGTAAAGAGGATGGAGTTCTTCGACCCGATGAGGAACGAATACTTCTTTGATCGTAACAGACCCAGTTTTGATGGCATCTTGTACTACTACCAGTCGGGTGGAAAGATAAGACGACCAGCCAATGTTCCAATTGACGTATTTTCTGACGAGATTGTCTTCTATCAACTTGGGAGTGAAGCTTTGGAGCAGTTTAGAGAAGATGAAGGATTCATTAAGGATGTGGAGGTACCTCTTCCTATCAACGAGATGCATCGACAGTTTTGGTTGCTCTTTGAGCACCCGGAGAGCTCGAATGCAGCCCGCGGTGTTGCTTTGGTGTCAGTTATAGTTATTGTTATATCCATCATTATCTTCTGTATGGAAACGCTCCCAGAGTTTAGAGATGATACCGACCCCGTGGTTCCCACGGTTCTGCAACAGTTCAACAAATCCACAGTGTCTACAGTGGTAACCAAAACAAAACTGACAACCTTCTCCGATCCCTTTTTCTTCCTCGAGACTTCCTGCATAGCCTGGTTTTGTTTTGAGCTGTGTGTGCGATTTCTAGCCTGTCCAAGCAAGCGGGAGTTCTTCCACAACATCATGAACACCATTGACATCATCTCCATCATCCCTTATTTTGTTACCGTCGTCACAGAAATGGTCTCCACGCCAGAAATTAACTCAGGACAGAACATGTCCCTGGCTATTCTTCGAATTGTCCGTCTCGTGCGAGTGTTTCGCATCTTCAAACTCTCCCGTCACTCCAAAGGTCTGCAGATTCTGGGACAGACGCTAAAGGCAAGCATGCGTGAGCTTGGGCTGCTCATCTTTTTCCTCTTCATCGGAGTCATACTTTTCTCCAGCGCCATCTACTTTGCAGAGGTAGATGATCCCAGCACACAGTTCACCAGTATACCTGATGGTTTCTGGTGGGCGGTGGTGACCATGACCACTGTGGGCTATGGGGACATGTGTCCCATCACGTTGGCAGGTAAGGCGGTGGGCACCTTGTGTGCCATTGCAGGTGTGCTGACCATTGCGTTGCCAGTTCCTGTGATTGTCTCTAACTTTAACTACTTCTACCACCGAGAGAGGGAATCAGAGGACAAGTGTCTGAAAGTAAATGTTGAGGAAGACGGAGAAAATGGAAACAAAAATGACAGTAGCACGTCACTCAATGTGCCCAACGGTGTCTCCAGAAGAAACGAGAAAAGAAATAATAGTGAATAGGATACAGAGAGTAAAAAAAGAACATATTTAGTTCAGAAGAAATTTTAAATTTCCTTTACAGAACTTTGAAACTAGTACTCTAGTTTTTACCGACACAAAATTAGAAACAACAATTTGCAACAACAGCTAGCAGCGGATACGCTGTTAAGAGGCTGCCGCTAGCAAGCGCCAAGCATGTGGTCCATCTGGAAATCAATTCCCCAGAACTCTCTACTCTCTGATTGTAAGGCAGGCGTGCTAACCGCTACACTATGGAACCGACATCTACGCACATATAATATTTCTTGGAAAATGATTTGCTTTGCCTTACAATATGTACAAGAAAGTAGTGTTGGGGTGTTAACCTTCAACTGTCCTTCAACATTATCCATGTATAAGACAATAAGAAGCGCTACACACTCTTTTGTTGATTAAAAATGTCTAATAGTCGAGTGAGAATAGAAAGCAAGTACAGCTGGTCCTCACTTAACGACGTATCCATTTGACGACCCTTATATTGCTAAGAGTTCAAAGCTAGTTCTTGGTCCTGTTTCCTCAGTTCTTAGACAGTTATCTGAAATCATTATTCCTTAAAGTAGCATGAGTTCTACCTCTGAAAGAAGTTCATCCTGTTTCCCCTTTGCACTAAAATGTTTTTCACAAAACACAAACAAATGTTAAAAAAACAAAAAAATCTTACCAGGGTGTTTTGAGTGTAATGTATGCTGATGATGTTTCACCTTTTTTTAATTAAATGGAAGTGGTTGAAGGGTGATTAATAAACATTAATTTAATGTGATCACATGGATGAATGTATCTGTACATAACTTCACTTTATGATGAGACTGTTGATTTAGACGAGGCATGGGCAAACTTTTTGACTCGCGGGCCACAACTGGTCCTAAAATTTGACCCAAAGGGCCGGGTCGGGAGCAGATAGATGGAGCGTTCGTGTAACTTAGAGAAATGACATGTAAAAGTCATGCTCAATGCTAAAATCCTGAAATGCTTTTAGCTTTTTCTACGCCATCTATTGGGGAAATGCGGGCATTTACTATAATTTAATAATGTAATTTGGACTAGTTTGGCGGGCCAGATTAACCGACCAAATGGGCCACATCTGGCCCTCGAGCCGTAGTTGTTGTGCCTGTTCTAATATTTCAACTTGTTTTGTTGGAGTTTTGACATTTCTAGCAGAAAAAAAAAATTGTGATAATTCAGCAGAATTAATGTTTAATGTTTTTTCTATAATTTACCTCCCAGAACACCTTGTATGGTCTGTGAATTTTTTGTCTTTTAATGCAGCATTTATACAGTATATATAGAGAGAAATATATCTACATAGACACATAAAACTAGTTTCCCAGAAAAGCTTCTCTCTTTTTTTTTTTTTTTTTTTTAAATAAAATCTCAAATCTATATTTCAACTGACTTGAGCCTTTGTATATCAGACAGACGATAGAGACATGACTGGAAAAACTCAATCTCTCATTGCTTTAATTTGAAAACAATGCTAATTTAAAATTGAAAAACTAATAATAAACATTTAAATTTGGCCCCGACTTTTGTTGATCATGAGATCTGTTCATTTTTGTCAAAATGCCATATATTCTCACTTCTGTATTGTAATCAACCGAAAAAAGTACTACGCATTTCTTTCGTCAGTGTTTTAAATTAGGTGCTTAAAGGTAGAGAAAACATGTTGTGAACTTAAATACAACGAAATAGCCAAAAAATACATATGTTACACGTTATATTTAATTGGTGTTCTTGGAATGTGATTTTCTTCATAAACCTTTGGTGAGGTCTGAATTGGAGTGCTGCTGAAGTTGCAGAAATTCTTTTTTTTCTGTATGTTCATTTCACTGCAACAGTTACTGTTAAATGTGTAATATAATTGGATTTTTAAACTCCTGCGACCGCCGATGTATTTGTTTCTGGTATTGTATTTTGAAGTTCGAGTTTTGGATTGGAATTAGATTTACGAAAATTAGGGTCAAAGATGTTTTAAACCCTAGTTTTTTCCACTGTGTCCCACTGCAGCCCAGTACCAAATGACCTACAGACCGGTACAGGTCCACGGACCGGGGGTTCAGGACCGTTATCCTACAGGACTAAACCTCAGGAACAGTGAACTACAGTAACTATGACGTGATCGTACACAATTAACAAGAAAGTTCATATAGTATAGTAACACTACCTATTATACTTTAATAAAAATATGCAGTTACCATAATTTCCAGACTCTTGAGCGCATATAAGCCGCACCGACTAAATTAAAATAAATAAATAATAATATTATGATGATCTGGATGACTGAGAATATCCACAAATATTTAAAAAAATAATTGTACATATATAGGCCGCACTTCTCTATAAGCTGCAGGTGTCCACCGTAACATGGGATATTTGTTTTGGTTACACGTAGCTTACCGAAGCTAACATTAGCTCTGGAGCTAATGGTAGCTCCGGGGCTAACTCCCTTCGCTTTGTTCTTGTCCGCAGCAGATGTAAACAGAAACAGGGAAGTTGGGGTCTTTATTATCAGCCCCTCCGACCACAACAGAACATAAACAGCGTTTTAACAGCTCCTGTATAACCAACTGACGCTTCAACATGACAGGGCGACAACTGCTCTCAACTTTCGCTACCGTTCTCTCTCTCGCACGCCCCTCGCACATATACGCACACAGCCATTCACAGACAGACATACGCTACTAGTATAACACACAGTAGCCTACCAGAAAAGTCATGAACTCCGTTAGCCCGTAAAAATCCCTAAATTAGCCGCATCATTGTTTGAGCCGCAGGGTTGTGAAAAAAGTAGCCGCTTATAGTCCGGGAATTACGGTATATCTGCAAACAGGTATGGTACTACATTAACATAATTACAACAACAGATGCATAGCATTACTATAGCTCCGCTGTTATTTTGTAAGTACTGTTTTAGTACAGCAAATATTCTGACACCATATCAGTTATTTTGGATGACGTCAAAGCTTGTTTTTAAGATAGAGACTGCTGGAATTCTCCGGAATAATCATCATTTAGTAAACATGTTAGCTAAATTGTTTTTTTTATGGACATTGGTTTAGGATCACGAGGAATGAATTTTAAAACTAAATTTGTTTTTTTATGGACATTGGTTTAAGATCACGAGGAATGAATTTTAAAACTAAACTTTAAAGCAAAATCTAACTTTCTTCCTGCTTCTCTTTAAAAGCTAAATATTATAAAAGCTCAGATTATTTCCCCTAGGAGTGTAGGGGTGCGTGTCGCTTTGGGCTCTTTCTGTTTTTCCTACAGAACTGTCCAGGGCACCAAATATTACAAGTCACCAAACACCTCATCAAATTTGTAATTGGTAATTTAATCTCAGTGATTACCCAAACCCTGTCAGAGAAACTACCAGATTATTGTTCTTGTATTTGTTGAATTGTTTTTTTTTGTTTGTTTTTTTTCACCCCCTGATATGTCAAGGGACACGAGTGTCCTGGACAATGTGGTTTGGGTTGTTTTTCCAGATGTCATTCTTGCCATGGAACAGTTACAGTGTTTTCTACTTACAGAATAAAGAATACATAAATACTACATTTTTCTACTGTGTTTCCTGCAAATATTATTTTAAAAAAAACAATCTTGAATATAAAATCTTTTTTGAACTATTTTTTAAAAATATTTTTTAAATTTTAATTTTCAATCAATTCATTTGTTTCTATAATCCAAACGAGTTTAGCTGTTTCCAGACTATTTATCGTTTTTTAATGAGCAGTAGATGAAGTGGAGCCAAAAAGTGTTGCCTGTTTGTGTGTGTGTGTGTGTGTGCGTAACAACACATGAGAAGATCCCTGTCAAGTGCTTAAAGATGCATGAGATTGCTTCATCATTAACCAGACACTTTGATGGAAAGTTCCACAGCGGAGTGAGAGACATGAGTAGGGAGCGTGTTAGAAAAAGAGAGTCAAAGTTAAAGTTGAAGTTGAAGTTGAAGAAAAAGTCACGCTAATTTAAATAGTCCGGGACAAAGTTAACAACACCAGAGTCGGGTTGTCGTGACTTCAGAATTTTTTAGGCGCAGACTAATGTCATGAAGGTCAAGAGGGGACATCTGACTATTTGCTGATGTTTTTGATATTTTGTCAGCACCCAAAGGGCGAATGAATACTCGGGAATAATCTGTATACGTATACACAGACATTACAGAAACAGTACATATATCATTCCAACATATATGTGTGTGTATATATGTATATGTATATGTATATATATATACATATATATACATACACATATATATATATGTTAATATATATACATATATGGATGATTTATTGGATTTATATATATACATATACATATATGTATATATATATACATATATATGTATATATATATATACATATATATATACATATATGTATATATATATAAATCCAATAAATCATCCATCTTCTGTGCTGCGTTCTTAGCAGGAGAGTGTATATTAAAAAAAAAATAGCTTACTAACTAAATAAACAGGACCCCTAGTCCATTACATATTAACGACCAAACCACCCATTATTTAAGGTATCTGGGCAAGTCACCTTAAAAAAAAATCTTTTAAGGTGGTATGCCACCTGTGCCCCTTAAAGAATCTCTGCGGGCAGCATGCGCAACTTTTATTTTTCCTGCTGCACGTAGCGGTTGTGTTCCTGTGATTTAGTTATGAAAAATAAATCGTATTTGAACCTTTATGAATCGTAAATGAATTTTTCCACGTGTCGCATCGCGATGAATCTCACTCACTAATTTGGGGCACGTTGCCACAAACCAGTTTTGCACGTAGCGCCTCGGTGTGGAGAGGCACATACTTAATGAATCGGCATATCAACGACACAGATCCACAATTACGTTTTGTTTTTTTTTCGATTCATAGAGCGTACTGAACCGAGACCACTGAATCAAGTGGTTCAAAACAGAAAACAAATTTGGGGGAAGGAAACAACACACAGGCTTGTAAGACTCATGATTTGCATGGAAGGACACAAGCGAGCGCACTGACGTGAGCTGGTCGAGGGCTCGCCCGGTGTCACATGACCTGCTTGGCATTAGGACAACCAGGCAATGTTTCAGTAACTTGACCAAATGGGAAACGGCTCTCTGTTCTGGAACTTTGCAGTGTTTTCTAACAGTTATGGACCTTTTCACCTGTAGTGGAACAACCCCCCCACCCCCCGCCCCTTACTTTTCTTTCACTGCTCAACCCTGGCCTTTTTCTCCTTTACTGCTTCTCCCTCACTATCATCCACATCCTCAGCCTGGACACCCTCAAGTAGAGTTAAATGAGTCACCAAGTTTACTTAAAAGCTGTACGTAAACCAATAGAAGACAAATTAAATTAATTAAGGTGACGGACTGCAACTACACACTTCTTCGTTCCTTTCTGAAAGGACTAACTGTCGGACTAAGTCGGACTAAGTCCGACAGTTAGTCGGAACATAAATGTAATTTGTTGACATTACCAGAGATGGAAAGTAACATTTACTCACGTTACTGTTATTGAGATGTTTTTGTGTAGTTTCGGAAATGTTAAATTTTCCTTTTACTTAAGTACATTTCGACTCAAGTATTTTACTTCACTACATTTGAAAAAGAACCCGATACTGAGTTAAAAAAATTAAATGTGGGGAGAAACGGGCAAGAAAATGACATGTGGGGGGGGGTGCGCGCAGGGATTTCCCACAACGTTAATGTAGCTAGAGATCGTTGACTAAGAGACAGATCCTAGCCTGTCATTGGGTGATGGCTGGTGTCGAACAATAAATGGAGATTGAGGATTGCCAAGCAGGGATCTCCTGTGGAGCAGAGGACTCAGAAAGAGAAGGAAATCCTATGCCACTAAGTTGTGACTTTTTACTGTTCAACCTTTCATACAACTTATCATAAGACCTAGCCTTTACGGCGGTTACTGCTCTTTTTGCCTCTCTTCTGGACAAACAACAACCACTGCAGGCGGTGACACGCTTGAAAGGCTGAATGAATGACGGCGTTGTTTTCACTTAAAGAGGTGTTACGTCAAAAGTGGTCATCACTGATAGAGCATAATTGATTTTTTTTCATTAAATGTTTCCTAACCATGAATGTGGATAATAAACTTCTACATTTGCCCGACGTATTAATATTAACATTATTTTTTCTTCTTTTTTTTGTGATAACTATTGCTATTTTGGGATCACCTATAGTTATAGGTCATTTCCTCACCACTTTACTTCCCCAATTGCTGTCTCCTTTTCTTTGCCAAGGAAGACACCAACACTGATCCCAGATCTGCTGGAGATTTCTTCCTGAAAAAAAGGGAGTTTTTTTTTTTTCTCCCATCCTTAAAGTCCTTGTTCACTATGTGATTTAATTTGAATTTCAGTCATATTCGTGAAGCTTGTTTTGCTTTGCGTTGTATTATTGATATAAACTCTATACAGACTAAATGTACTTGACTTATTATAACAGTTCCTTCCTGCTCCTAATTAGCCCAATTTAAGCGCCCACAAATAACAGCAAAATTAGCTTTTTAAAAGTAGAATAAAGTCACGGACAGACGCACAAACTTTTTTTTTTCTCTCTCTCTTAATATGTCAGTTCGAGATTTGATGATGAAATAATGCGGTACTGCAATGTCTGGAGGAACTTCTGTGTGCTCTTTTAAAATCAGAGATTACGACGAGGCGGTCTGTTTTCTCTGAAGCCTCGGCTGCGTCGGACTCTTCAATCCCTTAAACGTCAGGGCAACAGTTGGGAGCCTGAAACACAGAGAATAATCAGTCCAGTCCGGTCTGAAAGGAGAAAGATACACACGAGCTATACCACAACAAGAGAGCATTATAGGATCTATAATTTAGCACCTCTGCTTCACGCTTCTCCCAAAGCTCTGGACAAATATGTTGCAAAAGAAGAACAGGAAATGTCCGAAGCAAAGACAAATCCAGAAACTTAGCTGTAGAGTTTGTCTGTGGGACACAGGGAAAAAAAAAATGAATTAAACATTTCATGAGAAAATGTTGAAAGGATACAGTATAGGCTGAAACTACGAGATCATGCACTGTTTTAGATGTAACCAAAAAAAAAACAAAAAAACCATTTGATGATAAACCTTTTTTTAGAATGTATTTCTCTTTTTACTTATGTCTTCTGTAGAAAACATCGTCAACGATCATCTCCAGTGTGTTGTCCTCCAAAGACGCCAGTGTTTCACTTTCTTTCACATCGTCCTCCTTTTCCTCCTCTCTCATCTCCAGATTCATTTCTTCTAAACTCCAGTCTAGAGGATCCTGGGGGATTGCGTTTAAAAGTAAAATCGGAGCCAGATCTGAACAAACAAAAAAAGTCACATTTTTATTTTTGTATTTTAAAGGTTAGTTTTTGTCATTTTTCTTAAGATATTTATGTATTTGTGATTACTTAATATATATATATATATAAAGTATTTTATGAATCGATATTTTACACTTGATGTGTCTGTATTAAACCGTTTGGGAAAGCGGACTTGGTTCGGTAAGCAATACTTAGCTCCGCCTTAGGCTGCGCTGTCGAGCGCAGATGCGCCGAGCTGCGGCTCCCACGTGTAAAACTAGCTCGTCGCAATCGCGATGCTAAATGTGAAGACTAAATTATTATTATTATTATTATTTTATTTTTCATTATCAACTAAATGACAGTGACACAACAACAAATTAAATGTCGAAAATTTATGGCGACATGTTGCCCTGGTCTCCAGGGCAACATGTCGCCATAAATTTTCCTTAAGGTGGTCCCTTCTATAATAAGGAATGGACGACGTGTCCTGTTCATTGAGGATTTTGTTTTGATATCTCAATTTATTATTACTGGACAAGCTATCTTTTGTTTATTTAGCTAGCCATTTCTTTCTAATATATACTGCCTGTCAAATGGATTACCAGAAACTGTAGACCAACCTTTTTTTTGAAAATGAGAGCTACTTTTAACAGTACTAACTAATACAAAGAGCTACTTGTTTGATACCGACTCCTCAAATAACCTAATAATAATCAGTTCTGGGAATAACAACAGTAGACGCTC